AACAAATACTGGGTTCAACCTCCAAGGAATGGATTCTGATTTTGTCAAAAGTGGCTGGAACCAGGGTCAAACATCCGTAGTGGCGTTGTTTATACATATTTCATGAGTTTTTTTTTTATGAAAATTTTGCTGACGCTTAGAAACAAGCTCTCCTCTTTCATTCAATCCAACCACTCAGCTTGCTCTACTACGACCGAAATCCATAGAAATAAGTGCTTAGCTCCGTTGGGGGGTTCGTGAGTAGACTCGCTAGTTTGTTAGTGTTGACGATATCCATTTTACAAATAAAAAAACATTAACTTTGTGGTGGCGTTACGGTAGAAGCGTGCGATTTGATGACTATTCTTACAATATTATTCGTGGTTTTGTACTTGAAAGCACATAATGGCGTTCTTCATAGGTGTTTTGTGATGTCGCAAATCGACTTGGAGGACAGAGAAATTATCGATTTTTTGGCGATAATTTACCAGACGGAACTTCTTGCGGCTACGATCGGTATTGCCTTGACGGTGAATGCTTGGTGAGTTGGAAATTCTGATAAGGTCCCATTTCCTTCAAAAATCTTTCGTCTACATATTTATCTATTTTATGTTTTGACTATTTATGATCACATTTAAGTTAATGATAATAGCAGTTGGCTGCAACATGACATTTACACTAACATTTTTCCAATGAGAAAACCTCATCATTAAGGATGTCATTGTATCACTTTAATCTCTAGTCTTTGAGCAAAACTTAAAGGCAGTGGACACGGTGGCTAGGGGGTGGAGCGTTGTGTTGACGTCACTGGACGTCATTAGTGTTCTAGATCCCTCAGCGTGCTGGGGGCGGGAATGTGGCACGGACCCAACGCCCGTGCCAATCCATGACGTCAAAGGAACCATTCCACTCTTTAGCCATCGTGTTCACTACCTTTAATAATGAATGAATAATTCATGGTGATTCTAAAAATGACTGAAAACATTTCCAGCCTCTTTCCTGTTCGAACAACGCTCTAATCGGACGCGATTTATCATGTCCTACCGAAACTTGCCCAATGGATTCCTCGTCTATATGGAAGGGAGAGTGGGGACAATGGAGCCTATGGACTTCATGTACAGCCACATGTGGTGGAGGCTATAGGAAGCGGTGAGGAAGCGACCGTTTTGATACAAATTTCTCTCAAGCTTCATTGGTGTGACATCATTCCCAGAACGCTTTCAGATCCCGTAC